TTTCTGCAGCATTTTTCCGGAGCAGGAAACAAAATTTCACAGCTGCATGTTGCTCTCTTAAATTGGCCATCATAAAAAACAAGGTCCAATAGAAACTGCTTTTAGGAAAAAAATTCACTGTGACCAGAGATAACCTTCCCAGGTGATACCACTGGGTATACTAACTCAGAGCAAGTTGCTTGTTCCTGCTCTCTGAGCAGGAAAAATGCATACTACAAAACCCCTGTCCGGGGAAGGGTTTTTTCCGTTTGAGGGTGGGGTACCCCCTCGTGAGAGCTAACAATTTTGTCAAATCAGTTAAAATTTTCGAAGTAAATATTTGTCTGTTTTATGGATAAGTTGTAAAATGTGAATATAAAGTAGATTATATTTTCCTGTCATTTTTTCCCCCAGTGTCTTCCCCGTCATTGACTGGCATCTAGTAAACTCATGTTCCCCCGGCCTCCCTGTCTGGCAAACCTTACCCTTGGTCTCTTAAAATCCTCTGGTTCTGAGCCCTAACTCCTTTTCCTACCAAAGTAAATCTGACACCACATTCAATTCCTTTAGCAATGAGCCCACCTTTACCTTGTTGACATCCTGATCTGATAAATTGTCACTAAAGTATTAATGTTTGAAAATAGTTTGTAATGTTACCTTCCTCTGTAAAGGAGCTGATGGCATAGTGGTTACACCTTGGGCTGTGATCCTCAAGGTCAGCAGTTCTAAACCACCAGCAGCTCTGTGGCTAAACCACCAGCAGCTCTGTGGGAGAAAGACAGAGCTTTTACTACTGTAAAGAGTTACAGTCTGGGAAACTCACTGGGGTAGTTAGTTCTACACTGTCCTCAAGGGGCACTGTGAGTTGTTGGCCTTGATGGCAGTGAGTGCACGTTTGTGTTTGGGAGCTTTCGGAGTCACACGGAGTGGTAGGGAGATCCTTTGCTGGTGTTTGGATTAAATCGTACAGATAAGTTTCTCTAAATGCAAAACCAAGTCCATAAGAAACAAAAAGTGGATTAACTTTTTCATAATGTAACTTTGTAGAAAGGTGGGTTTGTTTGTTTGTTTGTTTGTTTGTTTTGTTTTACAAAATCACATTAAATTCTCTCATTTTTATTTGTAGGATGGTGGAATGAAGGCAGGAACATTTGACCCTTACCCATCACATTCTGTTGACTCTTATGGGGCTAAATTGCTAAAACAAAGTCCTGGTAAAAGTGATAGGATTTTTCACCCTCCAGGTGGACCAAAGAGCAGACCAGTGATAAGCATAATGACTTTAAATGTCAAAAGGTAGGAATCTCTTACATCAAACCCGTTAGCCAGGGTGAATTGTTTTTACTCATTAGATATACTTTTAAAAAATCTTTATTTTATACATACTTTAAAAAAAAAAGAACAAAGATGGAAACGTTAAAAGTTATTTTTTATCCATCATCTGAAATTCTCAATTGCGAAAGCGTAATTTGCCTATACTAAGCTACTCTTTCCATAATTTTCAAACCAAACTTATAATACATTATTGTGAGTCCTTTGAAATTATTTGAAATACATTTAGGAGGGAATGTTACCATTTCTGTTTCCCAAGAGGAGTTTTAGCCCATGTTAAAATGATGCCATGTCGGGGCCCCAGATTTTCAGCCATTGTGAGGAATCTTAACAACTGTTGAGCTCCTCTGTGTCCTTCTTAGCTCTGGAATAACTATAGATGAGAATAGGAGATATCCATGTTAATTAAAAATGCAGTTACTAACACTTTATAAATGCTTTGAGAAAAAGTATACATTATTAAAATGTCTTAAAACCCCGATGAACTCAGTTTTAAGGCATTTTTAGAAATATATGTATACATATATTATTTAAATGCTTTAAAATTTTGATTTTATCAAGGTTTTGAGAGTGTCCAGAGGAATGTCTTGGAAATTTAGAATTTGAATTAGAGAAAGATGAGCTGTCATTCTTTTTCAGAAGTGCAAGATCATAAACAATTAAGTTGAACAATTCATTTGATTACCTTTCTATTTTTTGAAATTGTATATTGCCATTTAAGCTCACTTCTTTCTAACTCTGACAAAACAACACACTGAAGTAGGTGAAAGAGAACATATTTACATTCTTTTCTTTTTGCTAAAACCAGCAGTGCATTTTTATCCTTGGGTGCAGTGATTATTATACCAACCCTTTTCTTGCTGTTAATTGCTGTTGGATCTTTTCTATCTGGAGAATAGAACTGAGAAATTACTGCAATGCCCTAAGCAGGGATAAAAGATTAACTTTCAAATAATGACAAATTTATCTTCTGTCTAATAATTTTGAGCTTATTGAAATCTCTATGTTACCACAAATGTTATTGTAAGTGAAGGTGTAGCTTCTTCTATCTGGATTTTAGAACTAGTAAACCTCTGGATGGTAAATACTTAGAGCTCAGTCCATGGGTGTTTCCTTTTTAAATTACACTTTCTAATGATTTCTAATTACAAGTGGTCTTAAAGGTAATTTAATGAGATTTTGTTTGACACAAAAAGTTTTAAAATAATATGTAGGCAAATTACCTGTGCTTATAAAATTTAATGTTTTTTGCTAGAGACAGTAACTGGATTAGAGGTTCTTGGGGGTACAGCAGGGCGTGTAGGTGTGCATGGGAGGTGGAGGTAATAGGGAGCTAATATCAAGGAGTATAAGAAGGAAGAAAATGTTTTGAAACTGATTGTGGTAGCGATTGTACAACACTTTGATAAGACTGAATGGTATGCTGTCTGGATTACGTCCTAATAAAATGGTTTGGAAAAAAATTAATATGCACTTAATTTTGAATTTTAGGGCACTAAATATGAAGAACTACAAGACTGCTTCAGTACAGTCCTATTAAGAGCTGGAAGACAAATTGCTTTCTCCTTCCTGCCTACCAGTAATTCATTATCAAGTGTTAATTACTACCAAAAAAAAAAGAGATATGGACCGAGTAGCTCAAACATTTGAAACCAATTTAAGCCTGCAACTCCAAACTCTTCTTTGTGTTAGTACTACTACTTGATAAATAAACAGTATTTGATCATTTAACATGTCAATACTGATCTGTGTATCTTTGGACACCATGGCTCAGACTCCACTCCCTAGTAATGTGCTAATTCCAACTCACAGCAACCCTACAGGGGAGGGAAGATTGCCCCTTTGAGTTTTCAAAGCTGTAATCTTTGTGGGAGGAAAAAGTCTCATCTTTATTCCGCGGCGCAGCTGGGGGGTTCAGACTGCTGGTTGTGTCATTGGCAGCCTAACATGTGACCCACTACACCACAGGGCTCTCCTATAACAGAGTGTGTCATACTGATTTACAATATTGTCATCTATAGTGAGGTCTGTCCACAGACCCGTGTCTGTAGAAATATGAACTCCACCTCATCAGACCAGCAGCACACGCAGTGGGCAGGTGTGGGCAACATGCTCCCAGCCATCCCCGGGTGGGCAGGAACTCCTTCTGTTAACTCGTAACCTTGCCTCTGGCTTCCCTCTGGAATTGGAGAACTCCTTACAGAAATAGTCAGCCTGACGTAGCCACCCTCTGAGCTGGCATAAACTTCTAGATCATGCAATCCCAGACAGGAACTTCATCTAGGACCAGGTGTCCCACTCCATCTCAACATCCCCTGCCACTGGAACTTGGCCGGCAGAGGGCGCTGACCCTTAACCAGGTGCCCTGCCCCCCTACAATTCTCTCCTTTCTGGGCCCTGCCCCACTCTATTTTCTCCTCCCAAACCCTTCCCTTGATTTTTCCATTTCCCCCTGTTTTTCTGTTCTTCCCCACACCCCCTTTTCTTTTCTCTTAAGCTTTTTTGTTTGTTTCTTTACTGTTTTCTCTTTCCCTATCGTTTTGGTTTTGGTTATTGTGGGTTTTTTTCTTTCTTTTTCTTCCCTTTTTATTTTCTTTTCCTTCTTTTTAGTTATTAATTTCTTGAGATTTTAAACAATATTGTTTGCTTGTTTTCCTCCACTTATTTTTCTTTATTATTATTATTTTTTCACTGTTATTTTTCTGTCTCATCTTCTCTTCTCTTTTTGTCCCACCGGGTAGGAAACAGCAACTGTGTCCATATGACCAAACCACAACCATACCTCCTGCAGCCTCACCCTCTGAGCAAGGTTCACCACCTGCTCTGGACCACTTGATCACTGATAGATAGCAGCCAACATCAGGCAAACCCACACTCAACTATA